TTTCGACGGAAAAAAAAATTTCAAATCGTTTTGGAAAAATTATTTTCGAATGCAGTGGCCAATTACAACCATTTTTGGTGAATAGACATACCCCCGAAATCCTGCGCATTTTCGGGGAAAAAATTCAGTACGGGCGAAACTTTAAACGTTAATAACTTTTTAACAAAGCTTCCATCAACAAATTGGTATTCTTGATTTTCGTCTTATTTTGACCTCTAGAATCCCCCACTAAAATTTTTCCCAGGGTTGGCCGAACACCCTGTATATACAATGTATATGTGGATCTCGTTATAAAATTTTAACCGTCCATTAGAGATAAGATACAGAATTAGAGCATTGCAGTTGGTTTCTTTATCTCCATTGATCACAGTTATGTATAGCGAAAGGCGAGGAATAAATACTTGGAAAACGTGCTACTGTTATAACAAAACATCTGTTGTGCAATACACGATTACTAAAGTTTATCGATAAGGACTCTTATAGAAGCGAGAATCGGTCAGAGTGGCTTAAAAAAAACTGTACAAATTGAAGATCGATATATTCATACTCTTGGAACAAACAAAGTGGACGAATAAAAGCATCCTATTGAAGTTGCAATAGTAAAAGTTACAATAGTAATTAAAATTTGTATTGTATGAGACGTAGTAGTTAGCATACAAATTAGACGATAGCAAATCGAATTTAGATCGATCGTTAAGCGAAGAATTTTCATTCTTATAAAAGATCATTTAAGAAATGTATCGAATAATGTTATTCGTTTTCGTAATCGTTTATTCGAATAATATTTTACACGTCTGTTTTCTATATACGAGCATGAAAAATAAGTATGATAATGCAATCAGAATAAATGAATACAAAAGTGTGAACACGTTAGTGCTTCCCATCGTGACGACATTGACTATTAATTTTATGCTAATTTTTATCTGTATTCCGGGTCTTATTTCTGTTATGCGTTACTTTAGTTTGCCCATATTAGTAAACATTTGATTTTTTTTAGTTGTGCAACATAATCCTAAATAACTTCCATAGTGGCTAACTTGGCTACTTAATAATATTAACGTTTTCTTTTATCAAATATACTTAAAAATTTCCAAAACATTTTACTTCGCAAAATTGTTATCGATGAAGTTTTAATTGCACACATTTTTTCAATAAATCTATTATTAGAACATTTGATCCGCATACCTTAACTTGCTCAGACTTTCGGCTGATTATATAATCTGTAAATATTTTATACAAAGTATAAATTACTTACGTATTTTTATATTTTATATATTTATATATTTTGTACAAAGTATAAATTATTTTAGAATATTTAATCTTTAACCAACGTTAGTGTGTTTCTATTACGCTCAGAACCGGCTATGTATACTTGATGAAACTTCTCTGTTACTGAAAGTACTATACCAACTCCGGCTTGTATGCACTCGAGTCGATTTCACTCATTTCCATACGTTCAGTGAAACTACCAATTTTTTTCAACACGACCCTTTTTATCTTAAGTTAGTTCCGAGACAATTGTCGTTGACACAAATTTTATTATTACAACGCTGTTATTTATAAAACATGAGTAACTGCATATATCGCATAAAAGTCTGTTTTAAAAATGATGATCATGATAAATGTAAAATACAAAAGTTACTTGGTCACAAGGAGGAGAGAACTATTTTACTTATTTTCTATTTGTTTAATGCTTTCAAGGTTATTTACAGAGTAACTTTATTTTTTAAATGGAAACTTATATTCATATTTTATGTAAAAAAAAGAACAAACTTTTGTATAAAATATTTTTTTATCAAATTTTATTTTATAAGGATATTTAAAAAAATAACAAATTTGTTTACTTACGAGACTTCTTAATTTTCTTTATGATCGAATGATGACAATAATGATCAATAACAGTTACACATGAGAAGTGAATTTCATGACATTTAAAAAAAAGGTTTCGTACAAAAGTTTGTTCTGTTTTTACGTAGAATAAGAATGTGTAAATAAAAACATAGGTTTCAAAAACGTTCGATAAATAAAAAATGAATAAAATAGTTGTATTGCTCCCTTATAACCGAGTAACTTTTTTATTTTACGATCAAACCCTAGCAAACAGCGAACTAACTAGGCCATGTATTTTATTATAATTAATTACCGTTTTATAAAAAATATAATCAATGAGAAAACTGTACGTCTTGTAACTAAGCAGGTTCGTTCAAACTTTTTTAAAAATATTAAAGATGCTAATATAGCCAGACTATTTTATTAATTTATTACTAATATGTATATATATATATAAATGAAATCAGTAATTTAATTTACTTCAAAACTAAAGGATGGGTTCATTAAAATGACCATTTATTTAAAACATAGAAATATTTCTAAGTCTAATTCTCGAAACTGAAAGTAAATATTTAAGTTGCTCAAGAAATTTGTCGGCATAGTGTATTTCGAAGTTGCTGCATCGAGTTACGATTAAATATATTTTACGTGACTGTACACTTCCATCCGGAGTGTGCACGTGGTATGAATATGAAGTCTATTAACCAAAACTATACACACGTGCCTATATATATTATTTATTTACTTATCTATCTCGTTAACGATATACTTTTATTTTCTACATACACTATCATAAATATCAACGCATTTTTTATTTTAAGAATTTATTTATAATTCTAATGGAAACACATCAAATTGCATAATGTCATAGGAAAACCAATTAACTTTTATATCTCAGTCTCTCGGTAATAACGGAAAACAAAAAATATCTGAAACTTTGTCTAATTAAAAATGACGTAAAGTTCATTTTATAAAATTAAAAAAAAAAACAAGTATTATAGATAGCAAAATTATTTTTTCCTACGATCTCGTCAGATATAAAAATCACAACATAGGAGCAATCATCTTATATGAATATCAATTGCATGTCTTAAAATTAACTTACGGCAGTCGCAGGTGCAACTTCCGGAGTCATAACCAGCACATTCACAGTGCGCCCACATTTCACACGTGAAACATCTACTCTTCTACTCCTTTGTCTTCGCTATAATTTACATTGCAGAAAAGCATCGCTACGTTTTGAAATATTCTAAATAAACGGATAATTTTCTTCTATTATTTGAGGTGTTACTAATTAAATAACGTTGGTAACTTTTTAGATACTTTTAGATACGGTATTCCATAATATTCTAAATAATATATAATAATAATATTCTAAATATTTACTTACATAGGAGAATATAGCTTAGAAAGAATTAATTTGATCAAACATTAATTATATTTTGTATGCATTTAAATCTCATGCACTTTTGCAAGAATCGAGATTTTTAATCAAACATAAATATACATACATATATAGCAATTTCCAGAATAATTCATAAATTGTATCGATTTGCACAAGTTCTTTAAAGATTCGAAGCCACTTTGCACGACTGTTAATTTGATTTTGCGTACGTAGTCTGCGCATGCGCAGAACAGGTGCGTGAAACGCGTCTCGCGTGCAACAGATATCAGTGCATTCTCGTCCTTTCAAATTTTCAGTTCGATCCTTAGGAATCGGTTTCTCTTTCTGTAAGAGCGATCGCGACCGATCGGTTTGCGGTTGTGGACGCGAGAGTGAAATTCCAGTCGGAAGAGCAATGACATATCGTGCTAATACGAGTGAATGCAACAAGAAAGCTATAAGAAGGACATAAAATAAATTGAAACGGAATATCATTGAATATAATCCACTAATACAAATATTTTTATGACGTAATATGGAATTATTATTAGTTATTCTTCGTAAAGGCGTAAGAAAGGTTAGCGTTGAAAATGTTACGCGTGTCGCAGAGGAGCCAATCGAACCATAACGATGCTGTCGCATTAGAAACGAATGGTTTTATTAAGCAACTATTATATAATGTGTCCCGGAAATTTGTATCGAGAGAAACTGAATATCGCGAGTAGATTATAACTTACACGCTTTAGAGTTTCTACCGAAGAAAATGGCATCGACGGAGCAATGATGTTTTGAAAAGATGAAAGTGAAATGACGATAAAAGCGACACGAGAGATAAGAAAAACATTTTCAACGCACGACCAAACGCTTTATTTATTTTCGAAGGTGACTAGATATTTCGAATTATTAAATAAAATTATTATCTAGATTCTTCAATTAGCGAACGTGTATTAGTTCCTTTTAGTTTTATATAAATTTTGGTAGTATATAATTTGACATATATTTAAAAACTTTACAGTAGAGTAAAATGTATTATTATCAGCCATTTAGATGTGATTGCAATACGGTGACAAGTGTTATTATAAATACAACATAAGCTTAACAAATTATGAGAGTTTTGAAACATTTCAGATTAATTCACGCACGAAGAGCGAGAGAAAGGGTTATGTGTGTTAACTTGTTAAAAATCATCCGTAGAATAATATAAAACTCTAGAGAAACATAGTGTAAATACTAAATTTAATGATAATTGATGCCATATTACGAGGTCTCAGATAAATTCTCTTAAAATCAATACATATTAGGTTAACTACTTTAATAGTTTAGTATTGCGGTATGCGGTGCCCGGTTTGTCAAAATTTGCGCGTAATCACGATCGAAATAATTAAACGACCAGATTATCGATACACGGTCTAACAAGAGCACAGTGAAGAAGTTCGATGGCTCCAATTCTTTAGTCTTGCTAAAGGCTTTATAAAATCAATTTGGAGTTGCGTTTCCAAACCTTGCAATGCGAAAAATCAAAAGATCCGCGAACGTTTGCCAAAAACTGACTTTTATCCATCCAGACCCGTCACCGTGCGACGTGCGTACGCAGAAAACACGTGTATCCATCACGCGACACAAGCATCGGCGCGCGCATCGTCGCGTTCCTCAACGTATATACGTATACAGAGGGAACCTGTTCGCTCGGCGGATAAACACGCTTGTGTAGACCGTCACGCAAACAAAGGAGAAACTGTCGTGCGCGCTACACACGCAGAGGGCGAACGGTACCGGTGTATATCGGTGGTTAAATAGGCATCGCTACGAGTCGCGTCGTCGCGCGTGTGCGTGCGCGCAGGTAGAAGGAACGCGTTTCATCCGCAGGCAGCCAGCGAGCGTCTGTCCGCGGGACGCAGTGTGCGTGCGTGCGCACAGGCAGAAAGAGGAGAACAGCGGCAACAGAGGCAAAGGTGCGGCGTGACCGCTCTCGTCGCGACACTACCGCGTGAGTGCAGCGAGTCGGTCGCCGTCGGTCTTCGGTGCTTTTCGATCGTGACGGAGGATCGTGGAAAATCCGTGGATCCAGCAACCTGTTGCGCTACCGATCTCGCGTGCACGGGTCCTCGTGCCAGCGTACCGCTACCGCGGCAGCCAGCCAGGCCTTGACGGGCGCCAGCCAACCTGGACACTTATTTAACTCGCGCGGCTTATACACGCGTTCACACGTGGATCGACGCGAGTTCGCGGCATCGTTGCGTGGATTCGAATCGGGACGAATGCAAGTGGCGTCGAGGATGCACGGATTTCGACGTCGATATGTGACCGGTGGGTGATCGTGTGTCGATAGTGCTTGGTCAACGGAGCACCATGTCAACGACGGACGTGTTTCGAATCACCCAGCAAGGACCGCCTGCCGAGGAGGACCAAGGGTAACGTCCAGTGTACTTTTCGTTTAATCGGTTCTACGTGTCGAGATTCTCGGTTCGGGAAAGTAGAGAAGGATTCGTGCGATCGAAGGACACGAACGGCGCGAGTGATTGTTCCGGAAGATCGGCCGGGAATGTTTGCATCGAGGTTTCGTTTACGCGTTCCTCGCCTCGCTCTTAAACGCGATCGAAGACTCGCACGGTCGATATAGAATGTTGATCGACCGTTTGGAATGTCATTTAGTCGACTCTTCCTCGCCAGGAGAGTTTATCGAGTGTTTTGGAATTCTTTTCGTGGAATTTATACCGCGATATTTCATCTCTTTTTTTCCTCGACCGTCAGGCATGTCGCGACAAACGTGTTTATTGAACTTTAACGCGGCAACTGAGAAAAAATGCCAGTCCAGCGAACACGCTTGCGTTCGTAGTCTGATCTTTCTAAGATTCTAGTTTCTGTTACGATCCGTAAATTCCGCTGGAAGATAGGTACTCGTTGAGCGTATATACTTAAATGCTTCGAGGACGAAACGTTCGACCAAATCTTATTTACATATTTTATATCTCACCAACGTTTACGGGTTTATCGAAATGATTTGCGTTATACTTTCTACGCTGCTCCAGGCGATAAACCTCGACGAGCACAAACCAGCGGAGTGACTGTCGAATACTGACCCGTCGGGAGTAAGACGTTTGCGAGAAACCTGTTTTAACATTACCCAGAGCTTTTCAGCCTAAAATGCGGCAATATACAAACTCCGCGTTTACAATATTCGGGTAATTACACCGATTCTTTCACGATCGATCGAATAACTAGCCGCCTGGATATTCTCGTCTTTCACCAACGAGCATACTTTTCGACAAAAACAACCGAAACGGGTGACAGTAACTAACACAGTCCGTGAAATATTCGATACGTTATTGAGAGTGTACGATTGCGTTATTTGCTAGAAGAGCATTTCTGGCGCCATCGAGCGTGTAATTAGACAAATGCTCCGATAACGTGCGTGTATCTTTTATTGTTACTACGCTGCGTAATTTATTTGACGTGGCAGCTGTTACGGTGAACGCCAGTGCGGATTATATCTTTATTCCATTCTTATTGTTCCGCGAACAATACCATGGAACGAAATTCTCAGTGTTTACGGTAACAAGTATTTTGCAGGATACTCCATCGACCGATTCGTCGCGCATAACCCGTCCCGTGCGAATTTGGGAAAATTATCGTTGACTTTTCGAATTAATCGTGTGATCGGCAATACCGTAAATGGCCACGAATGAATAGAAAATGCGAAAAGCTTCCATATAGAGGTAGTGCCGCGATATTAGTCACGTTCCTCGACGTTCTCCCCTCTTTTCTCTCTCAATGTCAATGACTGCTCCCTCAGGGCTAGTTGTGACCCTCCGTGCGAACGAGAGTCTCGTCTTTCTGTATGTCGTAGCATACATACATATAACCGAAGTCGAGTGGAATGGCGCTTTCACACGGAGGTATAAGGAACCCGCGATATTTATATATGTATATGCATACCCGCTGAATTAACCGACGTGGCTCGAGGCAGGAAATCTTATACCAGTGAAAAAATTTATTTTAGTACTTTCTAACGACGTTTTCTATTATATTTTATTCCTTGGGGCATGGATAAACAGGGCTCAGCGTGTGCAAAACGTCCGAAACGCTGACAAAATACGAAAACGTGATTTTGTTTGTATGAAAATTAGCGTAGCAGAGTTCTCGAGGTCGCTGATCACGAATTCAATTAACCGTTTATCCATAAATAAATGTTTTCATTCATAAAGTAGTAAAGTGATTCTTTTTTTAAATACGCCTTTTATATGTTCCATATAATTCCATGAAGTTGCAATAAGGACAATTTTGAATAGAATTTGTGTTTGATTAGGCAATATCCACGCATTTGTTATTCAGTAATCTCAATATGATAATAGTATATCCAAAAAAAATCACTTTATATATAGATACATATATGTATACATGTATTGAAATAATTTTAATTTGTATATATCAACAATAACAGTAGTAAAAAATACAACTAGAGTGCTTCTATTACTGCCTCCTTAAGTTTATCGCATAACGTGATTTAATTAGCTGAAAGTTTTTTAATTTAAAGGAATCATTTGAATACGGTTTAAAGCATAATATTGCTAAAAGTTTTGGAACGTTTGAGAAATTTTTAATCGACCACTGGAAATGTCTGCCATGATAATTGATGACATTGCAATATTATTGGAAACATTGATAATATATTAATAATATACAATGCATTTCATTGCTTGTCAGATTTAAAGTAGCCGTTGGTGACACCAATTTTCAGAAAACACATGAAAATATGTAATTACTGGGTGAAGTAATTCTATCTATACCTAAAATACAATTTTCTATTTATGTGCAAACATATGCAAGATTTTACATTATAGACATTATTCAGAAATAGATTCCATTTAAAACTAGCATGTGATCTCGTTTTTATATTAGAAATGAAAGTTGATAATGATTTCTGAAGAAAAAGTGTTTAAAAAATATTTAAAGGTTAACGAAAACCACACCATTCGGATCAGTAAAAATACAATCAAAACTATGATTCAACGTTTTCTTATACAGTTTTTCTAACTTTCGTTTTTTGTTATAGTTTAAAGTATTATCAAATGGTATTGCAGTTCGTAAAAACAGTTTCCATTGCTTCAAAAGATTCGATTCAGCTGCATTTTGTTCGCGTTTCGGACGTTTCGCGTACTGCGGGACGCTGTTACCACGCATTGAACTCTCCAGCGACGAATGATTTCGCTCAAGATAAACAAGAATTCTGATCCACGCTGTCCCGCAACAGCTGTTAATCTTACGACGATCCCGTCGCGTTACGTCACTGGTAAACTTAATTACGAATGTTCAGTCGACATGTTAACGGTTAAATTGAAAATTAAACGTACACGCGCGAGTTCCTCTCGAAAAGTTTCATTATTTGAGAATACATACATATATTCGTCAAGTTTTATTGATTCAAGAGAATAGGAGTATAACAGACTTTTTTTTCGCGTTTTTCGAGCTGGTTTTTAGGATTTACAACTGCAAAGGTATACAGAAATTGCACCTTTCGCCTTAAAAAACATGGTGTTTTACAAGGAAATCATGTTCGAACGATACAGTATACACAAATACTTTCCCTTTGAGTTACTTTGAACAGCAACTACAAAACATAGACGATAAATTTTACCTAGTAACTCGGAACATACGTTTACTGTTTTCCAATGTTTCTTTTTTCAATTTGCATTCCAAAGAATGTATTTCGAATATATCAATGAATTTTAATAAACGGGCGATAATAGTGTTTGAAAGCAAATTACAAAGATGACGCTTTATCACCCGTAAAGGTAGGAAAGTTTAGAATAAAATTTTGATTCTATCAAAGATTTGCCCACCTTTGATCTTCACATATTTTTGAACACTTGCTGCAAAATTAACGGTAATTTCTTGTTTACATAGAGATTAAATTTTAACTTATGCTATCTTTGCGTCTCCAGTTTCAATGCAATCTCACCAACTGTTTTCCCGCGATGCGGTAACGAATAGACACAATTGCGTTTTATTTACATAGATGTATCGTAGCCTCGTGCTTCCGTCTAACTTCCTGACTGCACAGAGCAGATTTATGCATTTATTTGCGATAGTTGTTTTTATAATGTTGGCGTTGGCGCGCAAACATCTGTTTTATTTAAACTGAAAAAGATTTTCGTAGATTCATCGACACAAATACACGTAATATGATACGAATTTTACTTTTTACCGGAAAATATTCCCAAATCGAATTTTATTGCATAACGTTGTCAAAATCAGGTCGAAGCCAGTAACGATTTGAGTTTTATAAATAGTTTATAATAAAATGAAGGAATAAATGAAAGATTTAACTACGATTTAGAAGGAATGGACAGAATTTCTTGTTTCGAGTTTCTTCAGAGAGTATATTTTTATTTGAGTATATGTCATACTAGAAAAATCAAATATAAAGGTAAAGAATGATGAAACACAGAGATTATGGTCAACTGGTACAATCTGCTTTCTATCAGTCTACTCTCTTACCTAATTCTTAGTTTCTGTCACGTTATTACGGTGACAAATGCAATTTACTATTACGAAGGTTTCTCGATCGATTCTGTCCAGATAGACAAACTACGCGAGGAATAAAAAGAACATTAGTGGATGAAAAGTATGCTTCCACGAGGGAAGGAAAATCTTTTGTAATTCATAAGGAAAATCCATAAATTATTACGTATAAATGCTTTGTTAAAAAGTTATTAACAATTAAATTCAAAAATTTCAAATCGTTCTGGAAAAATTATTTTCAGCTGTGGGGGTCGATTACAATAATTTTTGGTGAATAGACATACCCCCGAAATCCTACCCATTATCTAGAAAAAAAATCGAGAAGGTGTGAAATTTTTCGATGGAAAGGAAAAATTTCAAATTGTTCTGGAAAAATTATTTTCAGCTGTGGGGGTCAATTACAATAATTTTTGGTGAATAGACATACCCCCGAAATCCTACCCATTTTCTAGAAAAAAATTCGAGAAGGAGTGAAATTTTTCGATGGAAAGAAAAAATTTCAAATTGTTCTGGAAAAATTATTTTCGGTTGCGGGGGTTGATTACAATCATTTTTGGTGAATAGACAGACCCCCGAAATCCTGCGCATTTTCGAGAAAAAAATTCTGTACGGGCGGAACTTTAAACGTTGATAACTTTATAACGAAGCCTCAATTAAGAAATTGATATTCTTGATTTTGGTCTCATTTTGGCATCTAGAATTCCCCATTAAAATTTTTCCCAGGGTTGGCGGAACACCCTGTATATGCATCTGTTTGGTTATCTATCAGTTCTCATTTATACTGTGAAAATGAATAGAACCCTATGAATGAACTTGCTTGTGCTTCGAAGAGAAATTCAGGTATCGTAAGTCCGAAGCAGTACTTGGAAGAACGAATTTTAAACCTTAA